CTGGAGCAGTGCAGGGAGCTGGAGCACGGCTGGGCTGGGCAGAGGCGAGCTCTGGGCAGAGCTGTGAGCACCAGTGCCTGGTTTGTGTGCCCATGCAGAGCGAGGCTCTTGCCCAGCCAGGGCGAGGGAAGCTCTGTGTGATCAGGCACAGCCCCCACCCACTGCAGGAGGGGTCTGGGGGTGCTGACACCAGCTGCACCCAGCTCCTCCCACGGGGGCAGCTCTGGGCGGGGCCCAGGGGAGAGCAACGGCTGCTCTGCCGAGACCTCCTGCTGGGGCTGGGCAGGGAACCCTCCTGGTGCCAGGCAAAGAATAAAATACCTGTATTAAATAATTATAAATTCGAGTTATAAAATTTAAACGATACCATTTATCATTTTTAAAGTTATAGTTTAACTATATGTATAAAATAATGTGTGTAACACGTCCCCCTGAGGCAGCTCTGCCCCCTGAGGCAGCACCTCCCGGCCCTGCAGAGGCTGCTCTGTGCCAGTTACCGCTGGGCAGCGTCTCTGTGGCCACAGCTTTGCCTGTCAGGAGCTTTCTGCAGCAGGGGCTGAGGCCCAGGGTTAACAGGGCTCAAGTTTCCAGCTTGAGAAACTTTTCTGGTGGTTTGCATGTGGTGGAAGAAGAAAAATCCACTTGTAGTGACACAACACAAGAAGCCACATATTTATTTATATTTATTTTCTGAAGCATTCCAGTGCAGACTCCTCTGCTCGCTGTAGCCTTGGGCTGATGAGGACAAACAAACGTTATAAAAAAACAAACAAACAGAACAACAAAACACCAGAAGGCAGCAAAATCGACTCTTCTGTGAAGTGAAGTAGCTCCATGATGGTCCTGTTACACCAAACACGGCCATTGGTGCCCACAGTCCTCACCCAGCCCTAAGGCAGAGTCTGTGCAGGCGACTGCCCGTGTCTGCAGAGCTGTGCCCAGCTGCTGCCCCAGCACCTGGCACCCTGCCCAGGGCACCCCCGGGCACCTCTGCAGTGAGAACAGCAGCTCTGGAGCCAGCAACGCCCACAGTGCTGCTACACTGGCCAGCTGGCCTGCTGGGTGAGTGGCCAGGGCATGGAGCACAACTGAATTAGTGTCAGGACTATGAAATTAAAGCAGGGTCACCTGTACCTGCTGTTCTGAGCTC